AGCATCTTGGGGTCTTTGGTAGGCTTCTGGATGCCCCTTAGGGGCCTCTGAGGGTCTTGTTGGGGTGTGCTGGGGGCCGTCGCCAACAATTTCGGGCTACCTGGGGGGTTCTTGGGGCTGCCTTGGACCATCTTAGGTCACCTGAGGACATGTGTGTCATCGCAGGGCCTATTGGGGCTGCCTTCGGGTCATCGCGGCCCTCTGGTCCCTATTTTGGGGGCACTCCTTTGGCCCGCTTGGCGCCGCCTCGAAGTCCTCCTGGGGGAATCCTGGGGCCCTCTTGGGCTCTTTGGCCCCCTGTTGGGCCAGCACAAGGGCCGAGATGCCCATTGGAGCCGGCAGCGGCAGGAACACCACACTCACAGCATAACAATTGCCTTTTCAATGGTGGCAACCTTGGGGGACTTTAGGATGCCCCTGGGGCTGCCAGGGGCGCCTCAGGGACCTCTCAGGAGCTCCTTGAGGCCCCTTGGAGGTTTGTTGGGGGCTGTCTTCGACCATCTCGGCCCACCTTTGGATCATCACGGGGTTGTCTCGGGGTCGTCTCGGAATTTGCCTCTCACTGGCCTCCGCTTTGGGGCATCTCTTAGGGCCTCTTTGGGCTCTTTTGCAGCAATCTTGGGGCCCTCTCAGGAAGTCTTCAGGCCCTCTCACAGGGCTCTTGTGGGCCCTGTTGGGGCCAGCACGGGGGCCAATAATCCCATTGGAGCGCACAGAGGCACAAAGGCAGAAGTACTCGAAACGCTCGCGTTTGTTCGCTAGTTCGGGCCAGAGTGGGGGACTTCTGGGGATTCTGGAGGATATCAAGGGCCTCCCTGGGGCCTCCCTGAGACCACCTCTCAGGAGCCTCTTGGGGCCTCGTTGGTGTTACTGGGTTGATGTCTTGTCATTGTGGGGCCTCTTAGGGGTTGTCTTGGAGCCATCTCGAGGCATGCCTCCCACGGACACCCGTTCTTGGGCCCTCTGGGGACTCTGTTGGAGTCCTCTTGGGGTCCTCCAGGGAGGGGGCCAGGGCGCTCTTAGGCCTTCCCTGTGCCCCGACAAGGCCCATGGAAGCCAGCCCTGGCAGGAAGGTCACAATCTAGTGAAAATCGCGTGCTTCTTTGTCAATGGTTCTTGGCAACTTGCGGGGGCATCCGAGGACAAGTTCTTCGGCCATCTTGGGCCGCCTGGGCCGTCCATCGGGCAGCCCACGGCCATCTTGGGAGCATCACGGGGCCTGATGCGCTTTGGTCCGCGCTCTTGGGGCGCATTTAGGGGTCTTTCGCCCCGATTTCGGTCACGATGAGATCCATAGAACCCTCAGGGCCGTCCTCGTGAGCGCGGACTAGATATCTGAACACTCCGAGCTGAGTTACCTTCGTGGTGGATCAAACGCCTGTGGCCCGCTGGGCCGGCGACTGTTGCTTCAATGCTGCTATTAGTGGTTGCGGGGACAGCTTGCAATGGCAGCAATCGCTGTCATTGCTACGAGAAGTGGAGCACATAGCGTTTGAGCCAAACGCATTGAGCTACAATGCTGCAATTAAAGCTTGCGGGAAAGGTATGCAATGGCAGCAGTCGTTGTCGTTACTGAGTGGTTTGACGCTGGTGGCGCTTGAGCCAGACGTCGTTAGCTACATCTCTGCAATTCGTGCTTGCGGGGATGGTATGCAATGGCAGCAGTCGCTACTGCTGCTGAGAAAATTGACGCAGGTGACGCTTGAGCCAAATGTCGTCAGTTATACTGCGGCCATCAATTCTTGCAAAGGCTTACAGTGGCAGCACGCATTAGGGTTGCTGAGAGAATTGCGGCAGGCGACGCTGGAGCCAGATGTGATGACATACACTGCTGCAATCGGCGCGTGCGAACGTGACGAGTGGCAGAAAGCGTTGCTACTTTTCAGTGAGTTGCGGCAGGTGAAACTTCAGCCAGCCGTCATAAGCTACGTCAGTGTCATCCGTGCGTGCGCAGGTCTGCGGTGGCAGCGCGCGCTGGCGATATTCAACGAGGTCAGGCAGATGGTGGCAGAACCAGATGTCGCCAGCTATGGCGCTGCAATTTCTGCATGCCAGCAAGGTTGGCAATGGCAGCACGCTTTGTCGCTATTCCGAGAAATGCGACAGGCGACGCTTGAGTTGGACACCGCCAGCTATAACAGTGTGATCGCTGCGTGCCAGGTGCGCGGGCAATGGCAGCAGGCGCTGTCATTGTTCAAGGAGTTGTGGCAGTCTTCACTGAGGCCAGATGTCACCAGCTATCGAAGGCGCCTCCGGCGAGAGACCGCTGCCACCCGTGGCGCGAAAGGCCAGGGAAAGCAACGTCGGGCCCCAGCGGCAGAGGCTTAGGGAGCCAAGCCACGAGAGCTGGCCTAGGATCCAGCCCGGCCAGCCCGCCCGTGGACAGACCACAGGTGGCGGATCTACGTCGCTTGCAGCTCATTCCAGCGCGACTCCTTGAAATCGCCAGAACATTTCAGGATTCGTGATGCTTTCAACCCGTGTTGGGATGTTTTCGGGTGGTTTGGGGCCCTCCTGGAGTCCACGTCGGGACCAACTTGGTGCCACGAAGAAGCCCCTGAAGCACGGATGGTTCTGGTCTCGGCAGGGGGTCATACCAGGAAGCTGGATACACGCAGCATGGCAGGCCTGGGCAAGAGCTGGAGATACATGGCCGCACGCTACCTTCCATGGTTGGGAGGGGCGTTGGCGTACACCGCATGTGTATGTGGCGCGCGACCTGCACGCGCTCCACCTGTGGATCTAGTAGCGTGTGTGTCCAGCTTCCTGGCATTACCAGCCTGGAACATGTCCCTATCCCTATGATGTGCATCGCCTCATCTCGATGCCGCTATTCAGGATTCCCTCAGTTTTCGAGGGCGCATCCCTAAGACTGTCATCGCCTTTTGGCTGGTCAATCTTAGGCGGAGGGACAAGTTCGAAGCTGGTTTGGGTACCTTGTCCACGCCCTTGCGAGAATGTGTTCTTCGGATACGACCCCAGCGCCCCTCCGCGTCACTTGCGGCTGATTCTGGCCGCCCCTTTTCGAACATCTACGGAGCATCGTTCGTGCTATTGTATGTTCTATCGACGTTGGCAATTTCTGGCGCTCTTTCAGACCATCTTGATGGCCTCGTTCGGGACTGTCGATGCTGCCTTTGGTAACATGTTGTGAGCGTATTGGGCATCTTGGGCAAGCTGAGGGGCTGATTGGGCTCATCTAGGGGAGTGGGGGTATTTTCTCGTGCTATCTTCGGCCTTTCTGGGGGCCATCGTGGGACCAGCTTGGGGCCATGTGAGGGCTCCCAAGGCCCATCATAATCCCAATGGGCGAAACATTGCGGCCACGTTGTGCTCCAACTCGGCGTTCCTTTTCTATGATTTTGGCATCCATGTGGAAGTCTGAGAAAATGAGTGTGCGCGGGTCAAGATCTGTGCTCTCGTCCTCTTGACGTTGGGCGGGCGTTATGGCCAGGCTTGCCGCGTCCCTTGGGCCCTCGTCCTCCCCTTCTTTCTCTTCCTCCCCCTCCACCTCCTGCTGGTGTTCTCCCCGTGTCCCGGGCATCGGATGCACCGTGGGGGGCACTCAGGGGCACCCTTCGAGGCGCGCCGCGCGTGAGGGGCGTGCCGATCTGAGCCGCGGGCCGCCGCACTCTCGACCCCGCGAGGCGTGAGGTGCGTCAGCGCCGTGCCGAGGCAGGGGGGCGCGGGGGGGCGCCCGATGAGTGCACCCGTGGGTGCTGCAGTCGGGGCCCCCTCCTTGGGGGTGCAGTCGGGGCCCCCTCCTTGGGGGTGCCGGAGCAAGATGGAGGAGGAGGAGGAGGAGGAGGAGGAGGAGGAGGTTGGTTGGTTGGTTGGTTGGTTGGTTGGTTGGTTGGTTGGTTGGTTGGTTGGTTGGTTGGTTGGTTAGTTGGTTGTGCTCCCATTGAGCCAGCATTCGGGAGCTTCGGACGCAGCTCCCTTTCAGCATGGCGCCACGGCCTGGGGGGGGGCTCGGAAGCGCCCGTGCTGCGACGGTATTGGAAGCCAAGCCACCAGCGCTGGAGGGGACGAGAGGGGAGCTGTCGGAGCTCCGACGGCGGAGACGGAACCCGGAGAAACGAGGAACCTCGGGCCCCGCAGCCGAAGGGCCCACAGGCAGGCTCCAAGAGAAACAGGGCAGAACCAAAACCCCCGTCGAAAAACCGCCCCGACAGACCCCGACTCTCCCCCTCCGGCCAGGCGCGAAGCGGGAGTGGCAACTCGGAGACTCCCCGCGGGGCGGGGGGGGGCCGGGCAGGGAGATCCTGCCCGGGGCTCGTCCACGTCCCTCCTACGCTGCCATGTCGACGCGCGACGCAGGTGCGGGGGACGGCGACAGGAAGGGGGAGAGGAAGCCACCCCCAGGTCACGGGAGCCCAGGCGGGAGGGAGGCAGGATGGGTGGGAGCCGTTCCCTGCGGCCGCCCAGGAACGATCCGCCTCTCACCACCCACCAAACCACCCCAACCCAACCCGAAGGCCCAAATTTATCCTCGATTTCCAGTGGGGGGGGGTCGGGGAACGTTGAAAAAACACGTGGTATCCGTACCCCCCCCCAACCCGAAATTCGGGTCAAATTCGGGTCTTCGGGTTGGGTTGGGGTGGTCTGGTAGGTAGTCAGCCTCCCTCTCGACAAAAAAGCGCCAGCAGGGCCGCCTGCGCGTACCCGACATCCGCCGGGCCTGCGGCAGGACCGCCGCAGCCGCCGCCTCCGCGGAGGGAGGGGCCAGGCCCCCGCGGGCCTCCCAGAGAGTGCGCCGGGGGAGCTCCGTGCGAGAGCACAGCCCGAGGATATGGAACGCGGGTCGGGCCGGGCGAAAGGGGGGGATTGGGAAAGGGGGGGTTACGAAATTTGCTGCATGCAGCTGGTTTCGGCCTCACCGAGGGGGCCATTCCTCGATACATGGCCGCCCCCGGCGCCGGGAGGCGCCGGGAAAATCAGCTACGTGAGCTGATTCTCAAACCCCCCCTTTGCTATCCCCCCCTTTCGCCCGACCCGAGCGGGGCTCAGGGTCTGCATGCCGCACAGGACGTAGGACTGCCTCCGCGCCGTAGAAGCGCTGCCAGAAGAGTGGCTGAGGGCCACAAGCCGCCCTCGTGGCCTGCCCAGCGAGCGCTGGCCCAGCAGAACATCAACAACACAAATCTTGCCTTAGAGCCCGCGCGAGATCCGGCCCGGGGACCGGCCCGAGACAGAGGACCGGGAGCGGCCTCGTGTGGAGGCACACCGTTTGCCTCGGCTCCACCTCGCAGCGCTCCGCCGAGTGAGCTCGCACGAATTTCTTGTACTGGCGCAAGGACTGCGGGAGGAGCGGGGGGCAGAGGAGGAGGAGGAGCAGGAGGAGGAGGAGGAGGAGGGGGAGGGGGAGGGGGAGGAGGAAAAGGACCAGTGTAAACCAACGAGTCGTCAACAATGTTGGAATTAACTCTCCCTTCAAGCTCCCTCTTCATAGGCCCCTACAAGGATTCATGTCCATTGAGGGAACTGCCTCGTTGGAAGACAACCGTTTGAAGACCCTGAAGCATGCCAAAACATTGTTTCGGGATGTCAACGCCACGTATCAGCCTGACTGCTGCGTCTTTACGATCCAGAACCGTGTCAGAGCGCCACTTTTTGGACTTCAACACCGCGAAACAACATAATTGTTGCACCCGCATAATCCTGAATCCTGCCAAACACACAATTTCTGGTACACTGATCATGGGAATCCGTGAAACCCTTTGCAGATGTTAAAAACGAATGTGCGCGGCGCCAAGGCGACAGCCACATTTTGAAAAGGACCGCCCTCAATCCGTGAAACTCTTGCAAATTGTTCAAACGAATGTGCGCGGCGCCAAAGCGAGAACCACATGTTGAAAACCACTCGCCTTCAATCCGTGAAACTCTTGCGAATTTCAAAAACGAATGTGCGCGGCGCCAAGGCGAGAGCCACATGTTGAAAACCACCCGCCCTCAATCCGTGAAGCTCTTACAAATTTTTCAAACGAACAATATGTGAGGCTCTGCTCTTGTAAATGTTTGAAAAAGAATGCACGCGGCGCTAAGGCGAGAACCACATTTTGAAAACCACCCGCCCTCCATCTGTGAAGCTGCTGTCAGGGCTTAAGCTTCGAAGTTATAAATGGTAAGGAAGTCTCAGGCGAAACGCCCCGCCCGCCCTAACACTGGCCTCGGGGTGCGACAGGGAAGAGTTATCCAGAAGGAGAAGGAATGGAGGGCCTACCGCAGTGAGCCGCGGGGGGCGCTGCGAGAGCGTGCCCGCCCGGCACTGCGGCTGGTGGCGCGGGCGGGGCGTGGAGGAACCTGGCGGGGGCACGCGGGGCCGTGCCGCCCAGCGGTGGCGCAGGTTGGGACCGCGCGTGCAGCAAGGAGTGTTTTATGTTCCTCCTCCTCCTCCTCCTCCTGCTCTTCCTCCTTCTCCTCCTCCTCCTCCTCCTCCTCCTCCTCCTCCTCCTCCTCCTATTTCTCCTGCTCCTCCTATTCCTCCTCATCCTCCTCTTCCTCCTCCTCCATTCCTCGTTAGAAATAGCGTCTTCCTGTCGCACCCCGAAGCAAGTTTTTCGGGCAGGTTGGGCGTTTCGCCTGAGACTTCCTCACCAGCTATGATTCCGAAACTTACAATTTGGCAACAGCTTCACAGGTGGCGGGCGGGTGGTTCCCAAACTTTAGCTCTCGCCCTAGCGCCGCGCACACTCGTGTTAAAACACTGCAAGAATTTCACGGATTTAGGGCGGGTGGTTTTCAGAATGCGGTTATCGCTTAAGCGCCGCGCACATTCGTGTTAAACATGTGCAAGAGATTCACGGATTGAGGGCGTGTGGTTTTCAACATGTGGTTCTCGCTTTAGCGCTGCGCACATTCGCGTTAAAAAACTGCAAGAGGTTCACGGATTGAGAGCGAGTGGTTTTCAACATGTGGTTCTCGCCGTAGCGTCGCGCGCATTCGTGTTAACAATCTGCAAGACTTCCACGGTTGAGGGCGGGTCGTTTTCAAAATGTGGTTCTCGCTTTAGCGCCGCGCACATTCGTTTAACAATTTTCAAGAGCTTCACGGATTGAGAGCGCCTCCTTTTCAAAATTAGATTCTCGCTTTTGCGCCGCGCACATTCGTTTTGAAACTTGCCGGAGTTACACGGGTTCCCATGATCAACGTACCAGAAGTGGTAATCCGGAAGGATGCAAGCTTATGAGGGTGCACAAGTTATGTTGATTCGTGGTGTTCAAGTCCCAGGAATGGCGTTCTGGCATGATTCAGGATCGCCAAGACGCAACAGTCAGGTTGATCCGTGGCGTTGCCATCCCGGGAACAATGTTTTGGTATGCTTCCGGGTCTTCAAACAGTTGTCTTCCAACAAGGCAGTTCCCGCAGTAAAAAATGACCTCTGCAGGGGCCTATGAAAAGGGTGCCTGGAGGGAGGGTTTATTCCATCATCGTTGATGCCTCTTGGGTTTACATTGGTCCTCCTCCTCTTCCGCCTCCTCCTCTCGAGGGGTGCGCCGAGCAGGAGGGGGCACGGCTGCAGCAGCGCCAGCGCCAGCAGGAGGAGGAGGAGGGCCAGGGCGCGGCGCGGCGTCGTGGAGGGCGTGGGCCCCCAAACCCCGGGAGGGCCGGGAGTCAAGAGATGCACTCGGGTGTGTCTGGTTTCGGGGGTGCACCTTGGGACCGCTTCTGGGCCCCGTGGGATACCGGAGGCTAATTAGGGGACAATAACGACATGAGAGGGGCGATGAGGTGCAGGATTGAGAATCATTCTAGCAGCACTTTCAAAGATCAGGTCCTGGTCGGGCTGGCGGATAACTCAGCAATCCATGCGTGCGCAAAGGGCACGGAATGGCAGGGAGGGTTAAGGTTGCTTGGAGATTTGTTGGAAGCGCGAATGGAACCGAATGTTGTTAGTTACAATGCTGTTATCAGCACTTGCATGAAGCGTGGTCGTTCCAAGGCGGCATTAGTTTTACTCCGGGAGTCGAGACAAGCGAGGCTAGAGCCAAGTGTCATCACCTACGGTGCGGCCATCGCTGCTTCTAAGAAAGAGAACAATTGGCAGCAGGCGTTGTCGTTAATTCATGAGATGTGGCACGACGCGGTGGCCGTCAACGCAAACTGCTACGTTTCTGCAATCAGTGCGTGCGATGGCGTCGGGCCGTGGCAGCAGGGAGTGTTGTTGCTCAGGGAGATGTCGCAGAGGAGCCTTCAGCCAGACATACATTGCTACAACGCTGCACTCTGCGCGTGTGAGAGGCGCGGGAAGTGGCAGTTGGCCGTGTCATTGTTCAGCGAGTTGTGGCAGGCAGCTGTTCAGGAGGACGTCATCAGCTGCAATTTTGCAATTGGCGCGTGCGAGAAAGGTGGGGAGTCGCAGCGGGCCGTGTCGTTGATTGGGAGGGCGGGCAAGAGTGTGCATGGCCTCAGGTTGCTAAACCACACTGATCGCTCATACGGTCGTGTCTGCTGTATGATGTTGTGTGGTTTGTGTGTTTTCGTCGTTGTCATCATCGGGCTCGCGTTTGCGCATCAGCAGACTATATGCATGTTTGGTATGTGCCCATGTTGTATGTACAGTGTGCGCCCATGTTGCTGCTGACGTGGCACTGTGCCTGCACGGAGAGCGCCAGGCACTGTCCTGGGCTCCCTCGGCGTTGAGCGCGATACGTTGTTGCTTGCATCGTGTGGTCATGTGTGAGTGTGTGTGTGTGTGTGTGTGTTTTTGTGTTTGTGCATGTCTGCGTGAATCAACACGGCGCCGCCTCCTGCAACATTTGTATTTCCCAGGGTTCCACAACCGAACCATGGAAATGCTGCTCCCTATGCGACTCGCACTCTGGCGCGGCACTGCACCAGAATCGAACTCGTGAACAGACGAGGGGCTGTGGCCGTTCCTCGTGCTGGCTGTGTGCGCGAGCACCGTGGGACCCGTGGGGGTGTAGGGAAACGAACAATGACATAAACATACAAACTCGGAGGCGCGCGCGCATTTCTCGGATCGGCGTTGGACCCTCCTCCCTGGCGCGCGGAGCGCGCCAGGGGCGGCGCCGGAGGCGCCGCCAGGGGGCCCCCAGACCCGATGCGAGAAATCCGCGCGGACCTCCGAGCTTGCATGTTTGTGTCATTGTCTGTTTCCAGGTTCAAAGTTGAAGGCCGCTGGCCAGCGGCGTTCAACTTTGAGCGCCGCGGGCGAACCAGGATCGTTCGATGTGTAACGATTTGGGACGTTTCGGAAACGGCCGATGTGTCCAGGCTGAACGATCCCCGCGGTGTCGGAAACCCGCGTCGAAGTCGGCACGACACGAACTTGACGTAAGTAAGATCCCAGACCTCCGACGATGCGATCGCTTCAACCGGCGGTTTTTCCTTGATGTCGGACTTTGGGTCCGTTTTCGTGACCCTCAGCAGTCACGAACGGATCCGGGAGGTAAAGCTACTCCCGAGGAAGCGGTGGGGATCGCTGGGGCCGTGGGCTGACAATCACATCGGCGCTTGTCATGGGATTGGAGTCCCGCAGGCGCAAACGAGAGCAGCGATGCGCAGTGCTCAGGCACCTGGAGAAGATGACTCTGCGTTTGGTTACGGCTGGTACAGTCGGGGTCCTGAAGAAGGAACCTTTTTCGTTGGGGAGGGGCTCCGTGTTCCTTGATGGTTTCACAGCTTGCCTTAGGTTTTCCTTAGGTTTTCGATGGGAAATCGAACTTTAACTGATGGGAAACAGGGGCCTCGTTCCTTATTTTGCGTTCCTTGGGTCAACGCCCCCACTGTAGGGGGAGTCCCCTCCCGGACGGTGGTCAGCTTCGCCTCGTCGACGCACTGCGTCGGGGGTGCGCGGTGCCTCCAGTGCGCGGCGTTTTCTGGGAGTGTCCGTGCTAGCGGCGCCCCCCCTGGCGCTCGTTCCGGCGCTCCCGGGCTCCCGAAATTGTGTGGATTTGTTGGCAGTGCGACGCCGATTTGGGTGGGCGGTCAGGTTCTGCACGTTCTCGTCTCTGCATTTCGGTGGCAGTTGCTCGCCAATTCAAATGGACGGCTGGGTTCTCGGGCTGCCAGATCAGGGAGAATGGAGAGTGTATAGAAAATGCATATATCATGCAGGGTGGGGAGAGCAGAAAGAGTAAAGGGAGTAAGTAAGAGGGTACGGAGTGCAGCACCACATCGAGGGCATGGAACAGAATGCGGAGCACAGAGAGCACAGAGCAGAGATCATATATCAGCGAGTATAAGATGGGGAAGCGAGAAAAGACAGTAGAGGATATTGAGCAGAGGGTAGTAGGGATCACATGTAGAGGGTGAGGTATCGAGCAAAATGTATACCATAGATAGCGAAGGGTAGAACTCATGTTATAGATGATCGATGGCGCACATAACCACATTCATCATCCTCTGTTGTCGCGCACGGCCAGCGCTTTGCCATTACATGTCGTTATACCAGCAAGGGTCTCTCTGGCGCAATGTCCTTTACAAGCGCTCAGTTACACTCAGTCCGAAACATTATGCTGCTCATGTGTGCACGTATGCCATGTTCGTTGAAAGTTTCGTGCTGTCTGCAGCCGTTTCTAAGCTTGACTCGAGGTTTTCGCAAGGGCGGCGGCTGCTGTGCGACAACTGTCGAAGACAGTATGGCGGCCGAATCATCGGAGTGCTACGCATGCAGCCGGGACCCCTCTCTCTTCTTACAGTGCAGTAGCTTCATGCGCATAAGAAGCAGGGTGACAATGACCATGGGGGGCGATCACGAGCACAGGGTACAGGTGGGACGCACACCAAGACACTATGTGAATCTAGCGGCCCCCGACCCATCCCGCCACGGTGCCTGGGTCGTGGGTCAGAGGCTTCATGAATGCAGATTTGGGCTGGGGGCGTCTCTGCGGCCTCATAGAGGCTCCTTCGGCACGTCTCGCATCCAAAGGCGCTACTCCCAATGTAGAGCGGAATGAGACGGCGCCGCGCAGGGACATACAAAAACGTCGAAGCTCAGGTATTTTGTGCCTTTCTGTCCCCACTGGAGCTGTCGTGACGTAGTCCGCTTCTTGGATTGAGGCCATGTTGCCGCTAATGTTGAATGACATATCCTCCAACGCCAGCCCAGGACCGTGGCCCGTGGTCGCGCGCCTACCTGTGCACTTACAAGAAGTCGGACACCGCGAAGCACCACTTCATCCTGTGCTCCGAAAAGTGCGAGGCAGGGCCTCCTCTCTGGCATAGGGATAGACGGCGACGCAACCAACACACACGCACACACGCGCACGCACACACCGACGTCAACGTACACCAGCGCACAGACCTGCGCACGCAGACGCACACGCCCCGCTTTCCCGGCAGCGCCGCTGGACGCGAGCGCGACCTGCAGAGCCGGCGCCGGGCACCCGGGCGCCACTGCAGAGCGGGTGCAGAAAAGCGCAGGTGGCCGCGGCGGAGGGAGGGCAGGGCGGAGGCCCCGGGCACCGAGCAATCGGCGAGAGCGGGCGCGCGCGGGCGGCCCCGCTCGGGCACCGGAGGCCGGCGCGAGGCCAGGCTGCGCGTGCAGCGCAGGCTGTCGAGGCGGCGGGCAGGGAGGCGCCGCCGCGGGGCAGGCCGCCGGCGGTTGCGCCGAGGGCACGGCGCACCGCGCACAGGCGCGCTGTGCGGCTGCGCGTCGCGGCCACGCGCGCAGGCCCCCCGGCGGAGTCGGGCGGTCGAGGGAGCCGGACGGGGCAGTGTGCCGGCCGCGGCCGGGGCACTCAGGCAGCCCGGCAGGGACGCGCAGGATTCACCCGCGGGGAGCCGCGCGGCGCGGGAGCAGCACGAGGGGGCGCCGAGAGAGGGGGGGAGGACGAAAGGGGGAGCGGCAGGATGGGGCGCAGGACGGGAGGAATGAAGGTGCTCGAGCGCACGGGGGCCTCCCCGGGGGATCGGCCACGAGAGGGGACGAGAGGAGGCAGAGCTGAGCATCGCACGTCGATGTTTTCCCACGCGGTGGTGAAGCAGCCTCCAGCACAGCAAAGGTCGGTCACCTTCCACGGTGGGACCGAGGATAAAGATGGAGGTCGGTTCGGGGGAGCTGCCCTGGTGTCCTTCGTGTTTGCTGAATGTTCTTGTGCATCCTGGGGGGGAGGCACCCTCGAAGGTTCTTCATTTTGGCAGGCGGAGGTTCTCGCGTTCTTGAAGGATGTCCTTCTGTCCTCTGTCCGATGTCCGACCGGTAGCCACTTTACCACCCCGTGCGCCAACACCCGCGACGCTGGCCAGAGCTGGAGCAGCCCAGCTCGAGCTGAGGTCCAGAGCAGGGAGAGCCGGGCAGCCTTACAGGAGAGAGAGGGTGGCCGAGGCTCGCCGAGGCAGGCTGGCCATGCTCTGAGCTAATTTACTACCTTGTGCGCCAGCGTTTGCGACCGCCCTGTTGTTCTGCTTTGGAGGCGCCGACG